AGCCTTTGAACTGCTCACTTCATACCCACACTTATTCGCTGAGTACATCTCCCCAGTGCAGCCAAAGTGGCCTTCACACCTCTGGCCACTTCCCTCCTGAGCTGCTGGGCAAGGCCCGAGCTCTGTAATACAACCTGTGGGACCCTGTTGTATCATCCACCCTGCTAGACTGTCAGGTCCCTGAGAACAGACTTTGTCTTATTTCTCTTGGCACACGTATCTCCTCTAATCAGCCAGAAACTTGCTCATTGTTATATAAATGAACAAAATGTTTAAAAATCAAAACAATTTTTTTTTTCTATTGAGAAAATTGGAAATTTAAGCTCATAGACAAACTACCAAATATCAGAGAGGAGGCAGGCCGCAGCTGAGCCTGTGGCTGCCTGGGGATGCACTGGTGGTTGAGTTGGCCTTGCCAAGGCACACACACCAGGGCTACTTTGGCGCAGTGCCTCAGACTCTTGGCACCGACCTTCCCTTGTGTACGGAATTCATTTAGTCCCAGAGTGAGTCAATAGACTTTTTCTAGAAATTGCCACCTTTCTCTGGAGTGATCTCTACTCCTATCTGACACACAACCTGTGGCCGTTTGGAGAGCCTGGGTTAATCTATTATAGAGAAACTTCCTCAGGAGCTCATCTTCCAGCTGGAAGAGTTGTCCAGAAATCACAGAACTGGCCAATCACCCAGTCCTGCCCTCACATAAGCTATCCTTTCTTTTGACTCATGGGGGCACTTTCCAAAGTTCAGTAAAGGGAAAGAGTTCATGGCCTGATTTCTGGTACAAGGATCATGCCACCTTGATGGGTGTCATCTATTGGTCTGACTGAACGAGCTATGTAACATCTCTGAGTTTCAATTTACCTATCTCTAGGGATAAAAACCAAAAATATTAACAGGTTATTGTGAGGATTAAATGAGATGAGTGTGTATTAGGTTTAACATCATGCTGCAAAGGTTTTCTGAATGTCAGTTATTGCTCGTTAATTTTTTACACTTTGTTTTAAAGAAGGATTTGGGAGAACTACAAAAACATGCCAATCCTAAGATTAAAATAAAGAAATGAGAAAACCAAGGTCAAGAGGGACATCGCATCATCCCAGCAAATTACATGGGTTTCAGATTCCTTACGTCAGATACCAGCCTGGCCATTCATTCATTCCTTTGCTTGTTCAGCACTCAACTCTGAGCAGCTCTTCAGCGGGGTGGCATATCCACGAAAGAGCTTGTTTGTGCCTCAGGCTGAGAAGAAGAGCCCAGAGACGTCCAACTGAAATCCAGTGTAGCAGGAACGATGAGAGACAGAGGACGGTGTGCCTCCCCGGACTCGCTGGGAGGCCACATGGAGGGGCCCTGGTCCATGAGGAACTGGGTTTGTGGTCACTTCCCTGTCCTCATGACATGTCTGCTTTGTGTTCACATTTTAGCAATATCTTGGAAGCTAAATGTGACCTCTGAGAACATGGCCAAGATCAACACCCAGTACTCCCACCCCTCTCACCTGGCCCGCCTTGCGGTAGAGACCTCAGACAGAGATCTAGATCACGCTGAAAATGGCCTCAGCAGGTAAGCCGGCTGTTCTTCCCAGGCCTGGACTGGGCTATTTCTATAGCTGATCTAGAATGCGGGAGGGGGGGGGGAAACGCCTCAGCATTGGTCGGTCGCAGGTTGGAGGGCGGCGGGTACTCACAGTGCTGCCGACTTCGTTTTTCACTTCACTTCATCCCCACAACCCTGGCAAGGTAGTTTTTATTCTTATTTGAGAGATGTGGGAAAGGATGCTCAGAAAGTTACATAATTGCTAGAAATGAAGATTCAAATGCAGCAAGCTAAATTCTACTGTCACAACTCCCCCCAACTGTCACGTTCTCCCATGTGTACACCAAAAATTCTTGGACTCAGGCTGTGCACACATGTGGGCACACATGTGTGGTGTAAATCAGATGTCCTGCCCTCTCTTCCAGGGGACAGTTAGAAGGCAGGCCATGCTCAGTGCCATCAGCCCCATCAATGGCATCCTGACACAGGCCACCCTATGGAAATCTGGGTCCTTGCGGTCTATTCACAGATGAGGTCTCCACATGAGATTGATTTGAAGGAAGGACTCTAGCACATACACGTAACCATTTTAAAGTTTCAAATCACCGTCTTGGATGGAGGGAACAGTGTTTGAACAAACCATAGATGTTTGCATTGAAATTCTAGTCCTTTTAGAAAGCTTTAGAGATAAATAATTGAGAATTGTGTACATAAATATTAAACACGCTTCATCTTCAGTGTTGTCAAGAAGCCTGCCTTGGGAACCTGTGTGTTGGTGTGGCCCTTTGCTGCATGCTCCTGGGAAGAAGAACCCACCATGTCTCTATCCCCTGAGACATCCTTTTCTCTAGTTCTTTCTAAATTGGAGGCCCAATTTTGTGTTTCTCTTTTTTTAATTTCTGGAATTATTTTCACAGTGGCAAGTCATAAGGTAGAATGAAAACACTTCATTTGAATGAAAACATTTTTACACCCCGACATACCAAAAATAAAAATGTCTTGAGTTTTTCTTTTCTACTTAGATCTGTTTAGTTGGCTCAGTTATTTAAGAGTTGTCTGGCATATTTTTGAGGATAATGCAATAGAGAAAGACTATTCTCTGCTACAGGGAATTGTAGCTAGGACCAAGGGCACCTCAAATCCCAAATCAATCTTTTGGTACAGCTATTTTGAGTGAGTATTTAGGCACAAGGGGGTTGCATCCTACAGAAAAGAAACCTTTGTGCTACTCCTGGAGAGTATCCCAAAGCAATTAGCAACTAAGAAAACCATTTTCAGCAGGGTGTTGTGGCGGGCACCTGTAGTCCCTTTACCTTGGGAGACTGAGGTAAGAGAATCACCTAAGCCCAAGAGCTTGAGGTTGCTGTGAGCTGTGACGTCACAGCACTCCACAGAGGGTGACAAAGTGAGACTCTGTCTCTTAAAAAAAGAAAGAAAGAAAACCATTTTCAGCTGTTACTCTAGGAACAAAGCCTTAAAAATACATTGGCTTCTGCTCCTGGGTCACATGTGGCCAAAAACAGGGGATTCCGATCATTCCATTTCCTCAAGGCTTGAGAAGAGGAAAAGAAAAATAAGGTGACTCTGACATCTCCCATCCCACGGGAGGTAAATACCGGTTCACATAAAAACTTCTGTCCTCACCCAGTGACAGGAAACCTTCACTTTACCAACCGTAAATCCTCTACAAATGAACTTACAAGTCGAGTATCACAAGTTGAAAATGATCTCGTCTTTCAAAACAATCTCTTCATTATACTAGTTCTTGTTCTTGCTAATTATCAACTTCAGGGTAAGGGGCTGTTCCTCTGAAGGCATCACTGCCTTGTGGAATTGGAGGGAAGCTTCAGGAGCAGCCTAGCCTGCTTGGCTCATTTTAGAGACAGGCCCTGCCAAGCCCTTGCCACTGGTGCCCAGACTCTGCAGCCTCTCCACATCCCTGGGAGGTTCTAGCTCCCCATTCTTGCATTGATTGCTACAAGTCTAGTATTTCTGTCTCCTTGGGGGCTCAGAATGCCACTTCAGACATGTAGCTCCTCTCCTCTCTTCCCATCTCCCTTCCATCTGCTTTCTATTATAAAATCAGTTTTTTGGAGAAGTGTCTAATTGAGTTTACTATTTAAATACTCCCAGGCATTTAGCAAAGGGGGAGACTCTGGAGCTAAAAGAAAGACATTAATTTGGCAGAATTTCAAGTGTCAAGAAACAAGTGGAGGGGTGCACCAGGAAGAAAAGATCCCCGGAGGCCTGGAATTTATGCTGTAGAAGGCTCTCCTTGTTCTTCATAGCTTCGGGTGCCTTTCTGGGAATGGGGGGAATATTTAAATCAACTAGAAATGGCCAATTTTTTCTTTATTTCCATGATGAAGATCAGGAAACTTAAGCTCAGAGAGGAAATGACCAACCCACAGACTACCCAGCCAAGAGGTACAGGAATAGGGATTTGAACCTGAGCCTGCCGGCTCCCATCTCCACTGCCTCCCCCCTCAAGCCAGCATCATAGATCCAGGCCACGTGCAGCAGCTCTCACTGCTGCCAGTGCAGGCCTGCTTTGAAATCCACAGTAAGTTTTGCTCTCTCCATCTATCCCTACGTAATGATTCCTTTCTTGTGAATACAAATGAATCTAGTCATAGGTAGTGATTCCTTTTCTGTGAATGCAAATGAATCTTTTCTCAGGATGTACCCTCCTCAATTAACAGAAACCAGACTCAGCCAAAATGCCAGGCGACAGCTTGATCCCCAGAGTTCCCTGCAGAGCTGCTGGAGGGGACAGAACACCTCCATCCTTGGGATTTCGGCCAGATCTTCCAGGCCCGCAGGCTGTGACCAAGCTTAGCCCAGCTGTCAGCTTCCACCACCACCACCTGCACGCCAGCTGCTCAGATCCAAGCACATTAGAGATTAACTCCCTTTCCCCTGCCACCTCCTCCTGTGACAGACCTGGGTGCCTGGGAACATGCATCCACCTCCATGTACTTAACATTCTAATCACTCACTCCTGATGGTAATTCTGCCTCTTGCTTCAGCCGCTTGTTAACACCTTGTTAAGAAGGCTGATTAGGTTAGGATAAGTCACGTGGTAGGATTAATTTGTCTTGCTTGGGCTCCTGAACACTCAGAGAGTGAAGTGCAAATCCCTAGAGGTCAATGTCTGGATGACTTTTAATCAAGCTGATCAAGCACCAGCCCTAGGAGGTTTTATAAAGAAGAAAAATATTCCCAAACACATTCATTTTGCATTGTGGGCACCTGTCCCATCTGCGTTCACACTTTTCACTCTGAAATGCACAAGTGAGGTCACCACCCCTTACCTCTGCATTGCAGGGGAGAAGCTAGGGTTTGGCAAAAGGCTCAAGTAGAAGAGGACTTTTATTTGAAAGTACTATACAAATTACAGGAGACCCTCCATAGCTGACCACCTTCCTGCATTGACCACATCTTCATAGCCAGACATGCACCACATTACACATCCATACAGCAGGCCTAGCTCCTTATGTTGACCACCTCTGTATGTTGACTAGTTGTTACAGTCCCTTGGGTGGTCAACTTACAGAGGTTCTGCCGTGTTTAAACTCTAGTGGAGGTCTAGGCCTGTTCTGTACAATATTCTAGGACAGTGGTTCTCAACTTTCCTAATGCTGTGACCCTTTAATATAGTTCCTTATGTTGTAGTGACCCCCAACCATAAAATTATTTGCATTGCTATTTTGTAACTATAATTTTGCTACTGTTATGAATCGTAATGTAAATATCTGATATGCAGGATGTATTTAGGCGACCCCTATGAAAGGGTCATTCGACCCCCAAAGGGGTGGAGACCCACAGGATGAGAACCGCTGTTCTAGGATATTAACCAGTGCATTCCCAGGAAGGCTGCCAGACAGGCACACAAATATCTGCCCAGGTGGGGTGACAGCAGCATACACACAGTGGGGAGGGAGGCTCAGTGAGGCTTCTAAGGAGGTAGCATTTGATCTGGCCTTAGAAGATGGGGCGTCAGTAGGCAGAGATGTGTTGGAACCCAAATCCTGGAATTGTTTTGTGGAAACAGCTGCTATGGCTTGAGATGATAGGCACTGGGACCTCCCTCCACCCGGTGGCCTGACGAGGGTTATGGCAACAGTGGCTGCCACCTTTTGCCCTTCATTTACCCCTAGACAGTAGCTGGACATGCGCTCCCTTCCTTGATCAGACTTGCCATATTTATCTCAAAAGCCAGAAACTGCTGGAAGAGAGTCAAAGTGGGGCACCCCTGAGATGGTGGTCCATGACAGCAGCTTCCTGCATTAAGCAGGACATCTGGCCATCTCACATCTGACTGTGTCCAAGAGGAGCCTGCAATCAATTCTGCACGCTGCATGTTTGATTTCCTAGGGCCCACTCGCCGCTGGAAGAGACATCAGCAGTACAGCAGCCAGGGATCACCATGGACGCCAGGGGACCGTCTGCCTCCCGGCAAAGCCCCTTTGCCAGCCAGGGGCTCACCAGGTAACTGACCCATCTCAGCCCTCACCTTGGGATGGGGGAGCCCAGGGAAGAAAGAAGATAGATACATCCGAGAAAGTAGCACTGGATAGAGGTGGAGGTGAAGATTTGGAAAAGAAAGGGGCAGGATCACAGCAGCCCGAAATTTATCAGTGAGTAATTTCCTCTTGTGTCAGATGCTCCGAGCTCAGAAGAGTCTAAGAAAAACTGCCTTTATCTGAAATTACTTTAACAAAAAGTGACACTGAGATACTTGCTTAATTCAGGAAGAATTCAGAAGAGAGTCACCAAGAGAAGTGGTAAGAGCACTTCTTGGGTGACACAGAGCACTTGGGTGGACACAGCGCTCTGCAGGGGTGGTGCCCTCTGAAATAGCTCCCGCACGTTCCCACAGGGGCCAGGCTCCGTAGCAGGCGTACTTGCAAAAGAATTTGAAAGATTAAAGAGACTCTGAGGTGTCTCCCTCTGATGACATTGGTGCCATGGTTTCAACAGCTGCACCACCTTAAGGAAGTCATTTCACCTCTTTAAGGCTCAGCTAGAAAGGCATCTAACGGTGCCCACCCCCGGGGAGATGGAGGGCGGGCTCAGAGCCCAGAGCACCCATGGCAGGGGCTCAGCGAACTCTGCACTCATTATTTCCTTCTAGCACAGTTTTTTAACTGACACCCTAGTTTTACATACTTGTATCTTCTATACTTTTTACTTAAAATTATTGCAAAGAAATCATTCCTTTTCCTATTTATTCTTCATACTTTTCACTCCAGAGAATGCTATTCTACCATTATTTATTTAACCAGTCCATTGTAGCTGGGGAGTTAAGTGACATTCGGTGGTTTTGTTTTACCAATGAAAAGCTGTCTGAAGGCTCTTTGATTGCAAGGAAGAGAACACCTTCAAGTCAGCTCACACGCGGAGCCCTGGGGGGTCTGGTGCAGGGTGCAGGTGAGAGCCAGCCCCACGCCCGGAATCGGAGCCAAGGGAGCTCACAGGAGGGGACCTGGGGCAGCCCCCTTCTCCCTCTCATTTTTTCTTGGAGTTTCGTGATCTTTGGGCTTTTTTCTGTATGTCTCCTCCATTCTGGCTTTCTCTGCATATCAGCAGGTACAAGGCTGGAAATGGCCTTCTCCATACAGTTGCAAATTGAAGCACACACCTTGACATAGCTCTTAGTGCAGAGGCTTGTGACTCACAGAGGGTCAGTTGTCCACCACATGTCCTGTTGCTGAGGCTGGGGGCTGGGGGGAGTGTGACCTTGATTCTATCCCCTCAGCAGAGGGAGAGTGTCCAGAGCAGAGGGGCTGAGCTGGGCAGACCCCTCAAAATACGTCTGCAGCAGCAGCTACGAGCATCTGTCTATTCAAGTTATTCCCATAGGCTGAGGTCACAGTGTGTGATTAGGGTCAGGGATGTGACAATTCATGGCTTGGTTCTAGATTGTCTAGTGCTGACTCTAACTGGGGACACCCTGTCAGTGGCGGGCACTGCCAATGCCAAATTGGGAAAACCAGAAGCCAAGAAATAGAATTGAGTCTCTGTCCCCTGTCCCCCGAGGCAGAGACTGGGGCGGACGCAGGCAAGGCTGAGGGAAGGCCCCTCACAGGCAACTTGAGCTAGGATGAGCCCTGGGCACTGGGACTCCAGTCTCAGGGGCTGGAGCCTGTGGCAAGCTCCCGGCGGGGTCCGTATCCAGGAGAGGGGCCAAGACAAGTGGCAAAGGAGCTTTCTCACGAGCCTGGGGAGAAAACTGGAATTTGTATAAGAAAAAAGTTTATAAGATCGGTTGCAGGAGGCTGCAGGAGGACGCAGGAGGACGCTTGTTCCTTAATTGCTCTGAAGGTATCATCACTGGAACACTGTCTTGTTTTACCACTTCTATGCTTAGTGGTCACAGCAAAGCTCCTGCTGAGCAAAAGGAACAATGATTAGAAGGGCTCACTGATGCCCCCCCCCCCCGGGAAGGGTCATGCCTTAGGTAGAGTCCAAGTTTAAAAGGACAGGACCCTAACAAAGAGAGTGTCCTTTAGGAGAAAGCTCTGCTGGGGTAGACAGAGGAGGGGTAAGAGGCCCCTACAGAGTGGAGATGCAAACTTGACCCACAGGGCCCAGCACCCAGGCCCTGCTGGTCTTCTCTGCTTCTGCCCAGACCATTGAGAGGAGGCGGAGAGAGGGAGGAAGAGAGAGAGAGAAGAGGAAGAGGAAGAGGAGGGGGAAAGGGAAAGAGAAAGACAAAGAAAAAGAGGCTTTCCTTCTCCTCTGCCGCTCAGCACTCATCCGTGCCCTTTCAGACTGTCACGTCTCATCGTCTCGCTGCGCACATGGGCCACCAGGCACTTACACCACGAGGACCAGAGACCCGACTCTTTCCTGGAGCGTTTCCGTGGGGCTGAGCTCAGGGAGGTGTCCAGCCGAGAAAGCAATATGCAGGAAAACGTGGGTAGCCAGGAGCCAGCAGACAGAGGGAAGAGGTAAGAAACCTAAAGGAGGGTGGGTCTGGCCAGCTGGGTGGGGCAGGGAGCCCCTGCTTTGTGGGGGTCCAGCTTGGATGCCCCCCACAGGTGGCCCTGACCACCATCCCCCGAACCATTCCTTGAAGAAAGTGTCTTTGGGGGGAGAACACTGCATGCCCCAGCAGCCTCCACCAGAGCCCAAGAGGCCCTGGGCCCTGAGTGAGCCAGAGTGTCCAGCCTCGTTTGGCCGCTGCCCTCATGTCACATGGAGCTCCCATTAGAGTCCCCTGGAAATAGTGATCTCTGAAACTCACCTGGGAATGCCAGCCTAACCATCTCTCTCCCCCAAAGTATCCTCATCCTAGATTGCACCGTGACCCCATCTTGCTTGAAAACAGGGCCTTTTAAACTGTGAGCTCAGGGGGCACTTACTGGTACCCACAATTTTATGGACATGTGTACATAAATTTTGGGGGGAAGAAGGCTCACAAGTTGGTTAGAATTTTCAAGAGGAACCATCCATGTCCAGGATCAGGTAAAGAACCACTGGGTGAGGGGAGGGGAGACCTCAGTGGGAGTAGAGAGGGGGCATGGGGAGAGCTTTTCCCTTTGGTGGGAAGAGCTACAGAACCAGGGACTCTGCACATCTCCTCACATGGCCCCACCCCAGACAGACAGGGCTGCTGCCTCCCTCCCCTTCTCTCTTGTTCTTGACAAATCAGCCCAGCAGGTCTACAGAGAGATCCTTGAACCACCAGGAGTTGAATCAGTCGTTGTTGATTGGCAGAGGGGATCTTCAGGACCCAGAGTCTGTTTTCTAGGGAGGATGGGAGGGGAAGTTGGAAAGCTGTCTTTAGACTGAATCCTCTAGAGAATGCTAAGATTTATAAAATGGAAAAGTGGAAATAAGCATGATTGTTGCAGGACAGACGGTGCTAGATAATTTGCTAGAGAAAATACCATCTATTTTGATGTCACTAGGAGAGGATGGGCTTGGGTTGGGGGTTCTCAGATGGGCATGTGAGGTCCCTGGGGCGTGACAGTGGCCGACAGAGCTGCCGGGGAAACATGATGAATCTTCCCAGCACTTCCATTTTACTTCCACGATGGGGGGGGGTTGTAATTTATTTTGTCAGGGATCGCAAAAATGTTCAGGAATTTTTAAGATAAAATATGAGAAATTAAGGACATTTCTTGCTACTGACTGACTACATTAGCAGAGCAGGTTCAGTCTTCTGAGCAGGAATCTCAGGCTGAGATGTGAAGGCTTTCTGAGAAGCATTCCAGGCCAACGTTTTCGCATGAACTTGGTCTGTAAACCCTCAGGCTCCCTGGGCTGTAGGGAGGAGACTGGGTGCCAGCCAGCACAGGGCAGAGCATTCCAGACCCAGACGGTGCTGTGAGTGCAAGACCTGCATGGTGCTCGCTGCCGCTGAGACAGAAAGACAGGAGGGGCAGCAGACAGAGGAGGAAGAAGAGAGGAGAGGAGGAGGAGGGAGGAAAGAGAGGTTTGTTAGCAAGCCAGCCAGACTGATTCAATTTCTAATGGGCAAGCAAAGACTTCCCTGGCTAAACTGATCAAATTATCTTCCTCCATCCTTAGAGATGAATGTCAGTCTCTTTCTTCATTTCCCAACATGACTAAATGAGCAGAGAGTTGAGCTAGTGCTGCATCAGAGCCGGCCTCCACGATGCCACAGATACTACATCACTGGCCGGGGTGGGGGGGCAGATGGAGGCAACAGTGCAGGGCGGCAGCTGATCCATCCGCCAGGCTTCCTGCAGAAGGAGGTTTTTTAATTTTTGTAAAGCAAAGTGTATGCAGAGACAGGTCTCAGTTTCCTCAGTTTCCTCAGTTTCCCTCCTTCCTCCTGTTTTCCCAAGCAGACTCGGCCTTGTAGAGTGTGTGGTAAACAGAGGTGTGGTAAACACGGGTGCTGTACCCTCTGGAGTTCAACTTCCCCTCCATTACAAGCTCACAGGGTTTTTAATTCCTTGGGGGACTTTCAGATGAGCAGAGCTGATCCAGAAATAAGCAGTGACAGCCACACCATAGGCAGGGAGAGGAAGATGGGGAGACAAGCAGAAGTAGCCAAAATGGCATTAAGTGGGATGTCCAGCATCACAGAAGAGAACCCTGAGAGCCAGGCGGGGGTGGCGCTGGCCGTGGGCTCCTGTTCCTGTGGTCTCCTGTCAGTGGTCTGTAGTGACCATGAACAGCAAAGCTGCCCTCCAGCTCTGCAAAGCCAACTGGCTTTTTAATTTAACCAACCCTGTCAAAAACTTGTGCTCACAGCTGAGCACTTGGAGATGCACACTTTCCTACAGGATGCTGTGAGATACTGTGAAATTCAACTCTAAACAAATGTGCAGTTTCTCTCCTTCCTCCTACCAGATTCTCACATAGATCACAGGTGGCAGGCCCTGAGGCTATAACAGTTGAGCAGGAGAGGGGTCAGATAGACTAAAAGCTGAGATAATTCTGCCCCTGGTCAGCTTCTGGCCCTGCTGATTGGAAGAGGTCACTGGGATTGAGGTTTGGAGGGAGGGCGCTCTTTGAGAACCTTTGCGGCGAGGGTAACAAGTCGCCACTGCTGGATGTGTCTGTTCTGGCACAGAAGGAGTGAGACCTCCTTCACCTGAGAGGCATGGACACACGCACAGGGCAGGGCCATGGCAGGTCCACTTCAGGGCCCTGTGTAATGCCTGGTACTCTTCCCTGCACAGAACAGAATGGAAGAGGATCGAGTGGAATTGCAAGCTGGGCAGCTGATGGGATTCAAATGATAAATCTTCATATACTCAGAAGCCTTGTGTTCATCCTCTCTTCCCCCAAGGTTTATATCAGAGCTAAAGTCACAGACTGTTTTTGACCTTGACAATAACAGAACCCTGTGTTCTGTAAGTTGTGAGCAGAAGGGCCCAGGAGAAGGGGCTAGGTGTACCCAAAAAATCCCTTCGGGAGAAATGGTCACAAGTCACGCAAACGGAGGGCAGATTGCCATGCGTTTCTCTCTCTACCTCCCTGCAGCCCCTGGCCCCTGGCCAAACACAATACCAACGCCAGCAACAACTCAGAGGAGTAAGTACTCAGGCTCCCTGCAGAGCCTTGCCTCCTAGTCCTGGGGCCACCCTTATCCCATAGAAGCCCCACCTTTGCCTCTCTCCTTTCCTGTTCCCATCCTTCCAAAACACCAGTAGGCGATTCTAGGATCCTGCTCCTTTCACTGGAAATCCTTCCCTGTGGACAGATGGGAGAGAAAGGATGAGGTCTGTGTGACTTTTAGGGGGAATCAGTTTATCTCTTTGGCTGTCATTTTTCTCATTTATAAAGCAAAGAGGTTGGATCAAATGAGCACTTTCAACTTTTAGATTCTGTAGCACTATAAATTTGAGGGTGTAAAATTGGAGTCCTTTATAGAGAAATGTATATTTTCCTTAATGATGAGAACGAATTTTTTTAATTCTCCAACCTCAGTGTGCCAGTGAAATGCCAATTCTTATGGACAATTCGGGCCAATTTTGAGGGCATAATCCAGACAATGGAAAGAAGAAATTTAAATATTTCCGGAGAATAACCTCTTGAAAGGTTGACGTGCTGTAATTACTTTCTATCACCAGATGCTGAGCTGGTAGATTAGTTTGATGTGTGATTTTCACAAGTGCCACCCAAGATCCCAGGGAGTGTGTGGCATGTGTGTGAGATTGTATGCGTGCATTAGCGTGCATGCCTGTGTGTATGTGCACAATTCTCTGTTTTACCACTTTATTGGAATACTATGATTGGAGGCCTTAGTTGAAGATTAGGGAAAAACCATCAATATCAGCAAGAAATGTCAATTTCTAGACTTCGGATTGACAGAAAATTGTGGTAAGGGTTTCTCTTGTTATTTCCCTCTTTGCTCCTTAGGTAGAATTTTTTTCTATTTCTCTCCATGAAGGAAGCATGTGTTTTGTTTGCAGATTTGATGTCCAATTTTACGCAATCAAGAAAATGAAATGAAGTCATCTGTAAAAGAAGAGCTATTGTGATACGTGCTTTATTTAAAGTCAGACATTTCTGAAACATTTCTAGTATTGAATTTCTCGGTCAGGGAAAGGCTCAGAGCCCTGGAAGCCCTGGGCAGAGGTCGTGATGGTCTCTAGGCTTCTTTGTCCTGGGGCTGGGGTGTAGGCAAGGATGGGGTTAGAGAGTTTTGGCTGCACCAGGCTCTTAAGTCTTTTCATATATAGGGGCAGGCTTCGTGAATCCACACTGAAGCCAAGGACAAAGGTACAAACTTAGGAACTGTCCCCAAATGGGAACACCCTCTTCATGGTCGCTTTCCTCCACTCTTCCACCACATTTTAGCATTTTCACTTAGCCCCATGGCCCCAGGGGTTCTGAATAATATTTCCCTTCCCCCATCAAATTGTTCCCAGCCAAAATCAGCTTCATTTTGCAGCTCTGTATAGGTTCTTGGGGGTAGTGCTGGATGGATTACGGGACACGACTGGGTAGAGATAGTGCTTTTCTAGGCGCTCAGCAGCGTGGTGATGAGAGAAAGGGCTCAAGGTCTATAACCCCAGGGCCACAAATCCTGTACAAGGCAAGCTGAGCCTGGTGTGATTAAACTCCTGGCTGGGCTAAGCACGCTCAATAAGTTTGTGGGCAGCGCCCTCTGCTGGTGCCTTGACATTAATTCTCCAGTGTCAGAAAACAAGACTCCAGGGTTCAGGTCACAATAGCTTCAAGAAGACAGAGGATGAGTAATCATCCTTGCTCTTCTCATTTAACAATTCTAATTACCTTTTATTCTTTTCCACTTTATTGAAATACTCATTGCTGAAAACTTTAAAGAAAAGAAAAACACCTGTGAGACTACACATAACAAAAGGTATATTTCATGTTAATAGTGAAATTCCACTACCGGAGAGAACCCCTCTTAGCATGTTGGCAAATATGCCTCCAACTTTTTTCTGGGAATACATACTGTGTAGATATATAGAGACTATATATTTAATATATATACTTGTTAAGAGAATTTATATTTCAACTTAGTCACCTCAGAGCTTTGCAACCTTGGGCATGTTACCTGATTTCTCTTGTATCAGTTTCCTGGCCTATAAAACAGGGACTATAATAGTGTCTTATTTTCAGGGGAATGTGAAAAACTAAATGTGTTAATATGTGAAAAGTGCTTAGAGCATTGCCTGGTACACGGTAGACACTCAATAAATATTGACTAGTGTAGTTAGCAGACCAAACCCCTGAAAAGGTGTCTACCATCCTAAGCCCTAGAACCTGTAAACAGGTTATCTTATATGGCAGGGGGAATTTGCAGATATGATTGAATTTAACGTCAATCATATGGGGAGATTATACTAGATTATCAGGGTGGGCTCAATATAATCACACGAGTCTTTAACTACAAGCAGAAGAAGGAGGCTGAAGAGGGAGGTCAGAGAGGTGAGGTAGAAAAAGAGAGACTCCCACTGTGAGAGGGACTTGACCCATGGTTGCTGGACTTGAAAATGGAGGAAGAGGGACATGAGCCAGGGAGGCAGCAGCCTCTAGAAGCCAGGAATTGCTCTTCATCTGTAGTCAGCAGCAAGGGACTAAGGTCCTACAGCTACTAGGAACTGAATTCTGCCAATAATCTAAACGGGCAGGAAACAGATTCTCCCCTAAGAGCTTCTAGAAAGGATGGTAGCCCTGCTGAGACTTTGATTTTAGTCTGCTGAGACCCATACCAGACTTCTGACCTATAGATCTGCAAGACAATAAGCTTGTGTGGTTTTAAGCCACTAAGTTTGTGATGACTTGTGGCAGCAATGGAAAACGAATGCCGCTATTATTATGAACTCTTTCGTAGTCTGCTCTTTAATTTAGCAAAGCATTAGCAGCAAGTTTCCCATGTCACTGACTATTCTTTGATGACATCATTTTTTAACTTTTTATTTATTTTTTGTTTTGTTTTGAGATGAAGGGTCTCACTATGTTTTCCAAGCTGGCTTCAAACTCCTAGGATCAAGCAATTCTCCCACCTCAGCCTCATGAGTAGCTGGGACTACAGGTGCCTGCCATGTCGCTGGCTCACAACATCATTTTAAGTGACCTTGTAGAATACCATTGTTAATCATTAATTCCTACTGTATGTGATTAGACTGCTTACACTCTCTGACTGTTACAAACAATTGTAGTGATTATTCTTCTATAAGCATGCTATTATATCCTTGGTTATTTCTATAGGAAGTGCTAGGGAAACTGATTGGGTCTTTTTCAATGAGCATTTAGTTAGCAGACATTTATTTATCAACCCATGCCTTCCTCCAACATGTGGAGGAGCAAAATGAGAGGGGTCAAAAGATAGTTTCAGGGGGTGTAGGCAATGCCTTAACCCTCTGCCTTGATAACCTCAATTGTTCAATCAGGCATTAATGCCTGCCTTGCAAAACTACTATAACTACTCATTAGACAACTTTATATGAGTACCTAATCCTTAAAAGACATGCAATTCAGAAGCAGTAGAGTAAAGTCGTGAGTTGAGGAGACGCCCGCCCTGGAGGATCATCCTGCACACACAGGCACACCTGCCTCACAGTCCCTCGAAGGCTGGCTATTCGTCTGAAGTGGCTGCATTTGAAAGCTTCGAGCAGTTCTGAGATTTGCCACAGTGTGCGTCACAAACCAGCCTGTTTGAATTTTGCTTCCCTTCTGTTCACTTCAGATTTTCCTTCAATCCAGAGACAGGTTTTGAGAACAACACACAGACCACACCCTTTTCTTCAGAGCTATGAGCTTGGCACGTGACTTCCAAAACTCTGCGTGACTTTTCTACCCTCAACGTGTAGATTTGTGTTTATTTCCCATTACCTCAAAATGTCTCTGATCTGGGACTGTTTGTGATGTCCCAGGAATTCACAAAAATAGGTCAGAAATTGTAGAACATCAGACCGAATCACTAATTCCCCAACATATACTTCAATGGGGCTAACTTACCTCATACTTGAGGAATAATAATAACAGTAATAAAACCATCCCAGCGTACTGGAGATATCCATTTCCTATGCCACGCCCTCTCACACGCCGCTGCAGTCTACTCTTTCTACCCTGGTAATTTTCTTGGTATATATTCTACAGAATGTCGCCCTGCCTCAGCCAGTGACAAGGCAAAAAAGGGGGATCAAGAGAAAAAGAAAGAAGAGATAAAGGCCTGTCTGAAACACTGAGAAAAGCTGCCTCCAAAGAGGGGGTTCAATGGTCACACAGGCCAGACCCCTCCC